GTCACACGAACGTGATGGCTCGTTGGCAGCGTCTGTTAAACAACTCAGCGGCGCGGCGTCAGAAACTACTCAAGATGCAGGAACAGTACAAACAAATCGAAGAGCTTTACCTTACGTTTGCGAAGAAGGCTTCCGCGTTCAACAGTTGGTTCGAAAACGCGGAGGAAGATCTGACGGATCCCGTGCGATGCAATTCCTTGGAAGAAATCAAGGTGGGCATTTTGCGATGAATTTTTACTGTTTAACAGGCTACCAACCGATTTTTTCTGTTTTTTTGCGCAGGCTTTGCGAGAGGCACACGCTCAGTTCCAGGCATCGTTGGGCTCGGCGGAGGAAGATTTCCGACAGCTACAAGAATTGGATGCTAAAATCAAATCGTTTAACGTGGGTCCGAATCCGTACACTTGGTTCACAATGGATGCTCTTGAAGAGACGTGGCGGAACTTGCAGAAGATTATTCGTGTACGATCCTTTGATTCGCTTCTCGTTCAATTTTCATTGTTCTTTTACAGGAACGAGAAGCAGAGCTGATCAAAGAAAATCGTCGCCAAGAGGACAACGATAAGCTCAGACGCGAGTTCGCAAAGCAGGCGAACAGTTTCCATGCGTGGCTGACTGAAACGCGCACGCAGATGATGGAAACAACCGGCACTCTTGAAGAACAGCTTGACATTTTGAAGGTAGATATGGAAGCATTTTATACAGTGGAAGGAGGTCTGCGGAGTCAGCTTGTTAAACGAAACATTTATTTCAGAAAAAGGCGGTTGACGTCAGATCTCAGAAAGGCCAATTGAAAAAAATTGAGGATTTGGGTGCTCTTCTTGAGGAGCATTTGATTTTGGATAATCGGTACTGCTTTCTTATTTTAAGTTTTTGACACTTCGTCAGTTTTGTAACTTTCGCTGGCAGACATGTTGACGAAACCGGTTTGAGAAATTTGGTCTGCCAGACCATTTGTCCAGACTAATCATGTGCATCACGTGTCATTTCCCTTAAGGTCTAATTGATTATTAGTTAAATATTCCATATCGCTTCATTGCTCTGAGTGGAGTATTTTCTCCTTCAAAATACAGGCTAAAATTGTTCTGTATACTGTGTCAGAGAAGAAAAGGTAACTTCATAAACTTTGCAGTATCGGTCTTCCTACACTTCCTCTATGGGATCATTTTTGACGCCCTTCTGTAAATAAAGTTAGTGATGGGGCGTTAAGCCCTATTTTCATGCCGTCATTGAGGAAGGAAGGGCGAGTGACCGGTCTGAGCTCGAGTCTGGTTCAGTCTGATAATCTACGAACTGAACATTCCCGGTCGATGCTGTGATGTACGAAGTATCTGGTGCTTCGTGTTCATGAATGAAAGAATGTGACGGCTACCGTTGTGATATCTGTCTCCGTAATACTTTCCTGATGGTGCCGTGCATTGCCGTTCTTCCTTGACACGTGCGATAAGGTCTCGATATGCGTTACAGTCTTCATTCGTCAGCTAGCAAACCAAATCTGTTAATTTATCAGAATTATTTTCGTTCATGAGCTTGGGATTGAATCCTGGAACAGAAGGCTTCCTTTCAGCAGCACCCCACTGCGATGTCGACTTCCCGTACACCACCATTACGGCTGCCCCTGGTGAAGTCTTCCTTTCATTGCTTATGCGCTCTGTTAGTTTAATGGCACATTGTCGTCAAAAATGACTAGCCTGATTAAGGCTGTTTGCATATATCCTCCACTCACTTCCTGTCACCTCCCGTTTCCTGTATAGACTTAATTATATTCACTGATATATCTGCCTTGAAATACCAATTTTACAAGGAAACTGTTAGTTATTGCTTTGCGAGCAGATGTCGAAAGCATGCGAAACTACACTGCTGTAGCCTTATGTCTGTGTATCTTTCCAGTTTGTGTCGAATTGACCTGTCGGTCATCAGCGACAAATCGCACCGTTTCCTTCCAAACGCGTTCTTTCCTGCTCCTGATATAATCTTCCCACTCTCGTAGTCAACGACGAACCGGCCTAGTGTGCCCGCGAGGATACCATTCGGCCATCAACGCCGATCATCTCTGTCGATGAACCGAACTACCGGCCAGGTCAACCGTAACTTTTCTCTTCCGCTTTCAATACACCGTCCTTCACTTACTGATCGCTGTCTGATCACCGTATTGGGCGATGTATTCGCGACGTGAAGTTCCCGTTTTTGTTCCCATGGCTTTCTCTGTTACAGGTAGCTGCCACTCTTCAGCTTTAGTGAGTTACCACTTCTCACAACCATACCGTATTGCCGGTACGGCGGTAGAATTGAGGGAGTTTGCGCCGATTTTTTTCCTGATGTAGCTAAAGGATGAATCGGCCCTTTTCGTTGAACCTCTCCAGCTTGTTCATGCCGCATTTTGATCTCTTGACCTAGGTTAATGTAATTGACTTCGATTTTTTGACCGAAGGGCCTTTGGCATGGTATCCGATCGCAGTATCTTCATCTTTGACAGTTTGATTTCCAATCATCAGCGAATCCTACAGGGCTGAGCTGTTCACCATTGATGTTAATTCTGCTCTTCCAGTTCAGTCTTCTGAACATCATATCCAAATAGTCGGTGAAGAGTTTGAGAGATGGTGTTACCATTTTTCACGGACGTCTGTACCGGAATCCGGAAGGGCATGGAATAGCGTAATATTCGTGAAGTAGCCAGAGTTCACTTCCTTTAGCACTTTGATTTAAAGGGTGTCGATATCCTGTTCTGCCAATGCAGTTCACACTGCTTTATTCTATGTAATGTCGAGCGCTATACTCTAGTCGACAAATGCGATGCAAATAATCAGCTGGTGGTCTGTCATGCACTCAAGAAGTTGATACGATTTGTTGTAGCTCCTTCGGAATCCTGCATGTTCTCTTCTCTGCTGGCCACCCAGACTTGTTGACACTCTGTTGGTGATCATTTTCATGGACAGCTTGTACACATGTGAGAGTAGTCAGATTAGGCGATAGCCCTTCAGATCTTTCTGGCTTTTCTTGAAAACGATTGTTTATGATTCCTTCAGGCTGATGAAATTTCTTCCCT